GCAAGAAATTGTTAAGCTGGCAAAGGATGTTGGTTTTGAGGTGGGGAGGAGGAGGATGTACAGGACTTGTTGGAGTCTCATGCTGAACTGACTGACTGATCTGGATCAACAACAGATATCTGAAGAAAGCACAGATGATAAGGACAATGTAGAGGAAGACAGGAGTTTTATGACAAAAAATCTCTCCCATCTCTTTGGATTGAAGAAATTGTTAAGCTGGCAAAGGATGTTGGTTTTGAGGTGGGGAGGAGGAGGATGTACAGGACTTGTTGGAGTCTCATGCTGAACTGACTGACTGATCTGGATCAACAACAGATATCTGAAGAAAGCACAGATGATAAGGACAATGTAGAGGAAGACAGGAGTTTTATGACAAAAAATCTCTCCCATCTCTTTGGATTGCTGGATGAAATGGTGAAAAAAGAATGGTGATCTTTTTTGTGAATGATCTGCCAAAGTCTCCTGGGCTCTTAATGATGCAGTGACTTGCTACAGGGAGCTCTACTGTTCAAAGATTTGCGCAGGAGAACAGACTGATAAACTCCTTTTAAAGCTTTCTGGAACCAAAAAGCCAGCCATAGAAAAGCCAGCCCACAAAAACCCAGCTGCCACCTCTACCTGAGTTTAGCATAATTAACACTTTTATACTATATTACTCTTTTATATTTACTGTATTAAAATGTGCTATGTGCTTGAATGGTGTTAGTAGGGTTCTACATTTTTTATCCAATATTTTATATGCAAAATGTATATCATATAACTGATTATTAAAAGGCACATAGTTTAGATGAAAAGAGTATTGACACAGGCAAATGTGGTGACACTGTAAACACATTCCCCCTTTAATTGTTATGAGGAAAAATTCCCTGGTATGTGTCATTTTGGTGTCCACTGCCCTCAAGAACAAACTAACATAAAACATAACATAACATAACATAAGAGGAATTGTCCCAGACTGAGGTGTCATTAGAGGAGGTTTTGGATCAAACTGATAAACTTAACAGTAACAAGTCACTGGGACCAGACAGTATTCACCCAAGAGTTCTGAAAACTCAAATGGGAAATTGCAGAACTATTAACTGTAGTTTATAACCTAACCTTTAAATCAGCTTCTGTACCTAATGACTGGAAGACAGCTAATGTGATGCTAATATTTAAAAATGGCTCTAGAGGTGATCCTTGCAATTACAGATCAGTAAGTCTAACATCAGTACTGAGCAAATTAGTTGACGATATAGTAAAGAATAGAATTGTTAGACACACAGATGAACATCATTGCTGGGGAAAAGTCAACATGGTTTCCGTAAAGGGAAATTATGCCTTACTAGAGTTCTTTGTGGGTGTCAACAAACATGTGGACAAGGGGGATCCAGTGGATCTAGTGTACTTAGATTTCCAGAAAGTCTTTGACAAGGTCCTTCACACCAAAGGCTCTTAAGTAAAGTAGTTATCATGGGATAAGAGGGAAGGCCCTCTCGTGGGGATTGATAACTGGTTAAAAGACAGGAAACAAAGAGTAGAAATAAATTGTCAGTTTTCAGAATGGAGAGAGGTAACTAGTAGTGTCCCTCAAGGGTCCGTACAGGCACCAATCCTATTCAACTTATTTATAAATGATCTAGAGAAACGGATAAACAGTGAGGTGGCAAAATTTGCAGATGATACTCAATTGCTCAAGATAGTTAAGACCAAAGCAGACTGTGAAGAGTTTAAAAAAGATCTCACAAAACTAAGTAATTGGGCAACAAAATGGCAAATGAAATTTAATGCTGATAAATGTAAAGTAACGCACATTGGAAAAAATAATCCCAACTATACATACAAAAAGATGGGGACTAGTTTAGCTACAACTACTCAAGAGAGAGATCTTGGAGTCATTGTGGACAGTTCTCTGAAAACTTCCAATCAATGTGCAGCGGCAGTCAGAAAAGCAAACAGAATGTCAGGAATCATTTAAAAAAGGGATAGAGAATAAGACAGAGACTTATTGCCTCTATATAAAACCATGGTATGCCCACATCTTGTACACTGCGTATGGATGTGGTCGCCTCATCTGAAGAAAAGATATATTGGCATTGGAAAAGTTTCAGAAAATGGAAACAAAAATGATTAGCAGTTTGGAACGGGTCTCATATGAAGAGAGATTCAAAAAACTTGTTTTTTTCAGCTTAGAAAAGAGGAGACTAAGGAGGGATATGATAAGGGTCTATAAAATCCATGACCAGTGTGGAAAAAGTGAACAAGGAAAAGTAACTTACTTGTACCCATAACATAAGAACTAGGGGTCACCAAATGAAACTAATAGATAGAAGATTAAAAAACAAACAAAAGGAAGTTTTTCTTCATGCAGTGCACAATCAACTTGTGGAACTCGTTGATGGAGGATGTTGTGAAGAACAGGACTTTAACAGGGCAAAAAAACCCCATAAAAACAAAAAACCCTAGATAAATTCATGGAGGTTAGGTCCATCAATGGCTATTAGCCAGGAAGGGTAGGAATAGTGACCCTAGCTCCGGTTTGTCAAAGGCTGCAAATGGATGACAGAAGAGGGATCATGTGATGATCACCTGTTGCGTTCACTCCCTCTGGGGCATCTGGCATTGGCCACTGTTGGGAAAACTGGATACTGGACTAGATGGACCTTTGGTCTGACCTAGTATGGCCCTTCTTATGAGGAAATATTCCCTGGTATGTGTCACTTTGATGTCCAGTGCCCTTTTCAAGAATACAACCCTGATATATACAGGGTATCCCTGATATTATATTTGAGTTTATTTAACTTCAAATCTTGAGTCTAATAAAATAACATTACCTCTCAATACCCATGTTGCTCCATCCAGACTTCCACTTTTAAGAAAGATTTCTGCAGCAGCATTAACAATTTGGCATTTTGATGCTAACCTTTCTGGACCAATGAGTCCTTTCAAGTTTGTGAAATGAACCTGCAGTTCATGTAGTTTATCCAAAACTTTCCTGCCCTAAAGCAAGAGAGGAAAAAAAGCAGGGTGCAAATGAATAATTGTCAATAATTAAGCTATGTGTAGCAATATTAGTCAACTGTTCTGATTCTAGGACCAGGTTTATCTTAAAAATAAAATCAATTTTAATATGTATTAAACATGCATATTTTAGTAAGTTTATATGCAATACATATGAATTTCAAAGCACAGAACTTTTTCATCTTTTCAAATGGAGAATCATACCAAAGATGTCATTTGGTGCATTCATTGCATGATTAATGAATTCAACATTTTTAAATGCATGATTTTAAAAAATACAAGTAGTAAGAGTGCACTATAACTCTAAAATCTTTCTTGTTTTAGAAGTAGAGATTACGAATCAGGTGAAAAAAAGATCAGTAAAGCTTTGCTGTCTTTTCACTTGCCTGAACTGTTTATAACAATACACAAATAAACCTCAAAAATACTTAAATACTTAAAATTTGTCCTATCAACTAACTAAGAGCCTAATTTAAATTGATCATGGTATACTCGCTCCCACATTTCAGGAGAGGAAATAAAACATTTTAATTGTAGTTTCTCTTCCATTTAAGGAAAATATTTGAACATCATTCAAATTTAATTCCTTTTAATGATTATCCTTACGGGAAAAAAGACTAATGGTGTTAGTTGATATGAACACTCTATGCAATTCTTCAGATATTGTGTTCAATAATTAAAAGTACACAAAATGTTTAAGCCTTAATTTAGATTTCAGAAAAAGAAATTTACCTAAAATATTAGAGAAATTAGACTTTTTTTCTTAAGGCTCATCTATAGTGTTTTAAATGTTCAAAACTTTGTGTTATTGCAGAAGAATCAAGGAAAAGCTGACTGTAAATGGTCAGGGTTAGTTACACTATCCAAGATGAATGAAGTGTAAAAAAAGATTTTTTCAATTAATATTCTAATCTGTTAATAGTTACAGACAGACTGAACTGTGATTTTATTCTGAAAAGCGAATATGCAAAAACATAACATTTATTGATTATATCAGTTACACCTTCTGTATTAGTCAGCTGTATTTGCTTACGTTATTGAACTAAAAAAAGTTTTTAGTGCTTTTTAATAGTTAGGACTGCAAACTGGATTTTGCTCCTTTACTGTATATCTATAACAGAACTGATTACTAAGTTGCATCAATTGCTCCTGTGCAAATCTGATAAAAAGCTCAACTACACAGTAGTCTTTCCAGGCATAATTTGGTCTGCAGGATCCCTATTTCAGGGGCTGATGTGAAAAAGATAACCCAGATTGATTTCTGTATCCCTATTGAGTTTGCAGAGCTTGAAGTTAGGAAAAAGCATGTTTTTACTTCTGCATATACAATATGGAAATCAGATGCAGTTAAGTGCAGAACATCTATGACAATCAGAATCACTTCAAAATAGAATGATATGGCATATCTTTAAGTAGGATTGACAACAAATATTTCTTTTTCAAATTAATCTTTTCAATTAGAAAAATTCAGTTTAAAATTTTCAAAAAAGTGCCAGTCTCCCCATCAAATTATTATAATCCAGCAAAATACCTTTGACCATTGCTGTATTGTGTGATAAGAATAGATTATACTGATCCCAATCCTTCCAAGGAAATCTTTGTCTGCTTCATTATGTTGTGGATTTTTGATAACTGGTTGGAAAAAAAAGAAAAGATTGATGACTGCTATTTTTCAAATCCTCATCCAAGGCTTTTTTTTTTTTCAATGTAAGTTAAGTCTAAAGAAAATGTACATTCTAAAATATTTTCTCAATTATGTAAAATACATTTTTGGAACATCTGGGACCAGGTGCAAGTATTTCTTATGTCTTAATACAAAAGCAAGGGTAATAAATCCATTAACATTGTTATTCATATTCTCCCATGACAATAGGACACCTTAATAAATTACAACAATATAGAACAAGTTTTTGTTTTTACAGTGAAGTCTGTGACACTGAAAGCTTACCAAAATGACCTTACTAGGGAATGAAGTCTAGTCACAGAACTGGCTTAGAATGGGTGTTAGTATGGCAAACTTCTCCATACTGTGCTACCAATCTGCCTCACCTGTATTATGGAAGTAAGTATTCTTTTAATTCACAACTCTTACAAAGACCTTTATCCCTAAAGGGATTAATTCTGCAAAACACATTATTGATTCTGACAACCCCAATTTACTAGGAATGCATCCAACACTAAGGTCGCTGCTCTCAAACAAAATCTCTGACATCTCCTGTTGCTGATAGATGCAAAAAGATCGATTACAGGATTCCCCCACAACCTGAAAAGATGTGTTACTACTTTGTCCATCAAAGAACATTCATGTGCTTGAGAAGTTAGCCTGCTTAGATGACCTGTCAGGGTATTTTGTTCCTAGATACATTAATTGATATGGGTTGAATTTCTTGTTTTATCCACCAATACCAAATATACCTCAACTCTATGCACAATTGTAAGGAATGAGCTCTGTCTTGCTTGTTTGGATAGTATATTGCTGTCATATTTTCTGCCACCATCAACATTCCCATGGTGTTTGATCTGAAGTAAGGATGTCATTGTATAGATGACTACAGGATTGATAAGCCTGGACTTATAGGTTAATCTTGTTGACTACATGCACTCTCCCCACCCCAAGAGCAGAAGCAAGAGCCAGTACCCATGAGAACTTGGCTCAAAAGCCATCTCTCCATGAGCACTGGATCTGCCTGCCTCCCCACCTTTGCACTGTTGCCTCTGATAGAGGGGCAGCTGTGTGGATGGTGTGTGTGGGGGGGTAAGCTAGAGCCAATATGCACGGGAAGCCGGCATCCCAGCAGGCTCCTTCTGCGTGCCGGCTCCACAGACCTGCCTGCATCTCCCCCTCCCCCCCCCCAGTCTCCCGGCCTCTTACAGAGGGCGGGGGGAGGGGACACAGGCAGGACTGAAGCCAGTGCTGGGGGGAGCTGGCTTAAAAGCTGGATTCCCCCAATACCTCAGTGCCACCTTTCCCCCCCCCATGCTATGCTGTTGCCTCTATCAGAGGCAGCGGTGCTGGGGTAGGGGAGGCTACTACAAAGCAGCTTCTGACTGCGGCAGGCCTGAGCTCTCCGAGGACAGCCATTTTGTGGAGCAGCCTCTGTCCAGGGGGCAGGGGGAATTTCCCAAGCAGTCTGCAGACAAGAAGCTGCTCCACTTTTCACGAAGCAGCCTCTGTCCATGGGGAGCTCAGACCCCCCATGAACAGGAGCTGCTGCCACCCCACCTGTATCAGAGGCAGCAGCATAGGGCAGCAGACAGCCAGTCTGCAAGGGAGCTGGTTTTAAACTGACTCTCCTCACAGACTGGCTCCCCCCGACACCCTGCCCTGCTGCCTCTGATACAGAGGCAGTAGTGCAGGATGGCAAGGGGCTTCCTGGAAATGGGGCCAGAAACGCACTAGCTCCCCAGCCATACCTCTCAGGACTATCGAATAGTCGTGCAACTGTTAAGATTTCACACGGTTACACGACTATTCAATTACATATCTAACATCCCTAACATGAAGCAGAAATTATTTCCATTTGGGGGCAGGAGGGAAGAAGTAGTCTAGCTCTGAGCCCCAACAGAGCTGACTGCTGGAGCCTCACTGCCCACCACTGAGAGGCTGGACGCAGGCTCCCTATAGTTCAGATGCTGCCAGGGTTCTCAGCTTCCTACTCCACATGGAGCTGTCAGACCACACATTGCCTCTCAAGTCAGTGCAAATGTTCCTGATGGGGACACGCACCACTGACAGAAAGAAGTTGTGTGAATATGAAAACTGCAGTAATTACTTGTGTAGTGTAAACCTAAGCACCACTGGTGGCAGAGAGAGATTGTTCTCAGTTTTAAGGTCCTGAAGCAGTGGAAGCACCCTGCCCTTTTACTCCATCACCCTGTTCACAGAGGGGAGGGGCAAGGGAGATGTGAGTTACTATTGCTAGCTAGAGTTTTAGGCTGCACTGGCTGGAGCACCCCATGACTACTAATATGCAGAAGATATTCAAAGATAGTGCCTTATTTCTTATCATAGGTGTGCATAATGGCACTAAGGATATGTTTTACTTATAACGCTAAAATGGCACAGACACTTGCCTACCCACTGTTGGGAGAGCTTCTCCCATCCAAGCCAGTAGTCCACATCCCCAAGACGCAGTAGCTATGTCAATGGGAGAAGCTGTCTCCTCCAGTGGTTTAGTTGACATGCCTACATTTTCCATACTGTGTAATGCAGGTATACCAAAATAAGTTTGTAGTATAGACCACGACTATTAAAGTGAAAATTGGAGAGAAAAATTTCTCAGTGAGGAAATGAAACATCAATGTTCAAGAATTGTTTGAAATGTGTTTGCAATTAATATGTGTAACCCTTCTGCCAGAATATGTGTAGCACCAGCAGCAGCCAGGGCTGGGTTCAATATCCAAAGGTTCCTCTCCATCCATCCAACACAGAACTGCGTTGAGTAGTAGCCTGAGATATCCGCATGCAGTAACCTGGGATATTCACACAACACCCCTGGACGTCTCTGGGAGGCAATGCTTCCATACTTGCAAACACACAGTCTGAGTGGAGAAAATAAACCTTTAATAAAAGGGGAGGGAAGTAATGTGGCATTAATTTGGGAAAACACCACAGAGTTCATAATCAAAGCCATGAGTAAACTTCCCAGCTCAGGTAGGCTGGGCAATGTCTTTTTCCTCTCTGGCTATCAAGTCCCGCAATGTAGGATGTTCCCTTCACATGCCAATTTTCTGCACCCTACTCAGTCGCTGCCCTTGATCAGGGCAGAACAGAGTTCAGAGGTGTATCTGCAGAGTTCACCTCCCATCCTGAGTGGTGGGGTGGGGAAGGAAGAAGGCATCTCACCCGCTCTTCTGGTCACTCGCCATCTACCTGCTTCCTGCTCTTGGGCACTGCTCTGCTGGCAATTTGTTGCCCCTCACTGCTACCATTCTGCTGGCCACTCCTTATGCCTCTCCATCACCACCCTGATCATTGCATCTTCCACTGGCTTGTGATGGATTTGGCTCTGGGCCAAACCTAGTTATTTCAGCTCTCAGTGATTTCAGCTCTTGGCCCAAAGCACAGTCTAGCCACAAGAGATTCCAGCATCCACTGGAGTAAATTTACATATAAAAGAGACTCCTTATGGAGTCTTATCTTTAACACTATCATTGAAACAGTGGGGAGAAACAGGTTGAATCAGTCTTACAGCTCACATGTGAAGGGCATGCAGCCTGCTGACTCCCTCCCCAGCTTAATCCATAGGGCTGTGGAAGACAAGCCTCTGTCCATCCAAGTGTAATTACAGATAGGGTTTAACTGTGTTAAACAATCTGACTTTTCTGCATTCTCACAATAACTGCAAACATTGATATCTTACAATTTCTGCATTTTAGGCTTAACACAGTTTGTGACACCGCAACAGCCAAATTGGTTACAATGGGCAAAACACCATTCTAACAACTGAATATCTAGCAGGCCTAAGCAAGCTGAGAGACCTGTATTTATATAACCACGTCCAGGATTTCTTTCCCATTCCAGCTGCCTGTAATGGAAGCATTGATTCAGACCTTGCTTACATATATATGTTGTCAATAATTTGGAGTCTCAGAATCTTTTGAACTTTTAAAACATTTAGGTTCACCTTCAAGTTTAACTGAAATTGTCCAGAAGCAAGATATACATTTTCATTAGCTAATACTACACAAGCTTCATCTTGAATCTAGCAAATAGGATAGTAATTGTGCAAGAACCCATGAAACACAGCAGTCTCTAGAAGAATCAGATTGTGTGTTAAGACTACTCAACCAATATGCACCATCTATCAAAAAATGCTCTATGGAAGATATATGTTGGACCATTTAATGAGTTGATGGTTATTCTGATAAAGGTTTTCACCAAACTGGGACCATTTTCTCTCTTTGTTGAGCATTAATGCTACTGAAACTGGAAACATGCCTGTGATGCACACTGCAAATTAACTCAACAGCCAGTCAACTAAATAAGTGCATACAGAAGTCTTTTGTGGACTGCCATTACATTTGAGTATCTGATAATTCTTGAAATTAGAAATACCCAAAAGGAAAATTTTGTATTGATAATGATTTTAACTTATACAAAATCATAGTTACATCTATGTGTTGGTCTGCTGGATATAAAGCATGCATCATGACAAGAACTCCAAACCAACTGCATATGCTTAATAAGAGAATTATGCAGTGTATTATCACCATCCTGAATTTAAATCTGTGGTGTCCAACCAATAACCACTGTAGTGGCTACTGATATAGTGAACTATCAACACACAACCATCCAATTAGCCACATGGTTCAAGCCAAATAACCACACTCAACCAGCCAAATAGCTACATGTGGCTAGTGGCTCACGTGTTGGACACCACAGATTTAAATCTTCTGAGAACCTAAATAGGACAAAAATCTCCCTGTTTTTTGGAAACAGACTCTCCCCCACCCCTTTTCCCAATACTGCTTTAGAAACTTAGAATGTCCTGCATGGAAAACTTCATCTGAACATTCCAGGGGGAAAAGTTTAGGGCAGCATGATACGGAAATAGTGTAACCTCTGAATAATTTCCAGAACATATTTGCTTTGAACTCCCAGACACATTTTAAAATTTGATGTGTGACAG